ATATTAAGACTTTAGAGGTATGAATTTTTTTTTAAAAAGATTAGAATATATACTTTTAGCGTACTAAGCTAGATTAGTAGTTCTGTTTATCTAACCTTACTCTTATTTTTTCTAAATTTTTTATTTTATTAAATAAATAATAAACTTTAGCTAAAACTATAGTTATATAATCTTTATATATAGATCTATAATATATATTTTTCTAACTAATTTTATACGTCTAAAAGTGAGATATTTAACCTTTAAACTTATATTTTTTTAAAGCTCTACTTTAGAGCTATTTTGTACCTTAACTATACTAACTAAGTAGCTATAAGGCCTATCTAGGTTAGACTAGAGCCTCTTTGCTTTATAATAAGCTATCCTAATTAGGAATTGCTCTAATATTCATCGAGTTATACTTGTGTAAAAACTAGAACTTTTAGTAATAGTTTTTTTCTACGTTACCTCTCTATAGTATAAAAGTTAACCTTCTTTATTTTATAAATTAATTATTATAGTTAATTTCTTCATAGCTGTTATAGTGGTGGAGATATTACGTATTAAAAATGATGGATGGATATTTTGATGGGGCAGCTAGTGTTCCATTGGGTGAACTGTTGCACGCACTGACCGTATTGGTCCGACCGGTAATACAAACACGTGCACTGGTCGCTCGTAGTCTTCCGCATCTAGTTAGACGCTCCTATCTCACGAATCGTCATAAATACCAAGAAACCTATCAAAGATGTACACAGGCAATGTAGTATGCTATCAAATCACCTGCATGATAAAACTTATTCAGGTGCAAGGCTAACGGCGTTCGCGGGAATGTAGGATGAGTTTTGCTATGTAATCCATTATCGCAGTAGTAGTATGCCAAGCCCTAAAACCAGCTCTCAAGAGCTGGTCTGTGGCCCTTCTATGAACCCATCACTACCCGACCCGCTCTGACCCAACTCTACCCCTCTTTTCCGCTCCCCATCGCTTTCTCGGGTGCGTTTCCTGTAGCTCAATCCACAATATGTCGAAATTGACTATCTAGATTGCCGCTGGGATAACTATCGCTTGCCCGATAGGTATCGCATTGGTTGGAATAGCTGGGTTTGCAGTGATAATAGCAGTTGCGGGTAAGCCCTGAGCAGCAGCTAGTTTCCAGAAGGTATCCCCAGCAACAGCTACATGAACTCCCGCAAGCTTAGGTAGAAGCGTACATTCAGGTCCATGATTGACAGCCTCGCATCCAGAAGCTCTTACAGTCAGGGTTTGCGATGCATAGATGGTGTTAATGTTTTCGATATGATTCGACGCAGCGATATTGCAAACGCCAACCCCGAGCTGAGCAGCGATTCTTGAGAGCGTGTCTCCCTGTGCGACAACGTGGGTAGCGATGCCACCACATTGACGTGCAACCTGAATGGACGAGACGATCAATTAGCATCTCATGAATTGAAACTTTGGAGGACTTGTATTACCAGATCAGGCGCAGGAGTCACGATAGGCGTCGGAGTCACGATAGGCGTCGGTGGCCGGCTATGAGGGCTGCCTAGTACCGCAGCAGCGAAAGTGGTAGTGAGGACGAGGATGGAAAGCATTTTTGATAAATGTTTGTGTGGTTTGTAAAGGCGAATCTTGATGGAGATGGAATGAATAATTATGTCTCTAGATGTCACTGGTGGGTGTATTCTTATAGCTTTCAATCTTTGCCTTACCTGCCCCAGCTCCTACAGTTACTCCAGCCTTTCGTTACCACAGCCTCACATTCTATTAAATTACGGGCCGAAGTAATCCTGGCACACTATATCATTACACACCTGATGCTTGACGAAAGATGTACTCGATTCGGCGAGGCATCACCACGATCATGCGGCCAACACATCAAAGCCTGGTTATACGCTGATCTAGACTTTGACGTTATAGTAGTAGGTCCCATGACCAGAATCATTAGATCACGAGAATATTAACTATTATTATAACTCAAGCTGCGTATGTTTCATGTAACAGTTAACCCAAAGAGCTTCTTAGAGAGATATTGAGAGGTTTCGGTCACCCAATTTATCTACTTTCTTGTTCATGGGATGCATATCACAATTTGAGACATCTTGGATTACCAGCTGACTTGATCCCACATCTAGTAGTTTTTGTCCGATATCCTTCCTCCCTGGTCTCGGAGGAAATCAAACTATCAACGACTTAGCCATGACCTAAAACAGACTATATTAATACTCTTAACAATTTGCATTTATGACGAGGATTTCGGTATGGTGCTGTACGTTCAATCGTTGAGTTTGGGATCTAGAACTTCCCAGCGATTAACTGGATACAGTATAAGCATATTATCCCCTGTCGCAAAGTTGGTCATGCAGCTTGGAAGCTAATCATCGTCCGGCTCTTTCTATCGCTCTAGAATCGAAACCTATACGAGAACAGGTTGCGGCGTACAGAATGTCGGATGATTTAATTTGCTCCAGTCACAATCTATCGATAGTGATTTTGGCCACGTTTCTAGACACGGATATGGGATGAGAATGATGAAGTAGTATCGGGTGACTAGTACATAGGGCCGATTGTTGTCCACATGAAATGAGCCCAGTGTAACATGTCGCTACGTAATGTGTCTCCTGCTTCTTTATTCCAGACGATGACCCATCTACTCTACTTCTTTGATACTTCAGTCTATCCTTTCTTCTCTTCTACTCTCAATCTTTCAGTATGCGTTCCCGACATGCATACGGTCTCTTCAGTGCGCTCGGTTCATTGTTGACATGGCTCTGTATGCACATATTCACCAACTACGGAAACCCATGGGACATATTCCCAGACTCGATTCGACGATTGTGTATCGCTGTATTCGTTATAACAGTCGTCGACTACATTTGGACCATTATATGGTGGGTTGCATACGAGCCTGTCCCTGTACCGGCTGATGAGGCTGCGCTCCCAAATATCACTGTTGTGATACCCGTATACAACGAGTCATATTTTATTCGGTACTCTCTGCATTCCGTTCTGCAGTCATCCTATCCCAAAGATCGATTGGAAGTTGTTGTAGTAGATGATGGCTCTACAGACGACACATGGAAGCACATTGCTGCGGTCGAGACTTCATACGCCAACACCGCAGTTTCTTATCGAACTATTCGACATGAGAGAAATCTTGGCAAGCGATTCGCGATCCACACTGGCTTTTCCCTAGCATCCGGTGACATTATCATCTCTCTAGATTCAGACAGCATATTGGAGCGCAATTCAATATCTCGATTGATAGCACCGCTAGTGCTCGATAATCGAATTGGAGGTGTGGCAGGCCATTTGAGCGTGCTGAATGTGGACCAAAAAGTCATTCCCCGATTGCTCGATATACTGTTCGAGACTAGTGGCAACATCCCTCGAGCAGCACAATCACGAGCATGTAGCGCCGTCACGATCCTTCCAGGTGCCCTTTCAGCATATCGCACAATCGCAATCAAGCCGTTCCTTGCAAGCCTTCGCGAAACCACCTTCATGGGCACGCCGATTAAGCATGGAGAAGATATTGAGATAACGCTTGGCTTACTATATGCTGGCTGGAGAACGGTGTACCAGAGTAATGCTATTGTTCACACCATCGCGCCAGAAAATGCTACTCGAGCTTTCTTGATGTACACGCGTTGGGAAAGAAGTTCGTACGTGTACTTGTTGTCAAGCTTCTCTAAGATCACTTTTCCAGCCATCCTCAGACAACTCGGTACTCAGCTTCTCAAGGATGTCAAAGTCAACACTAGAAGCTATTTCTATGTTGACATATACGAGGAGGCAAAGCATCTTCAACGCAGTTCAAATTCGGGCGCTACTTCGAGGACGAGTATAGGGTGCCTATTCTTGCTTATCAATCTCACATCAACTGCCGTTGGTAACTGTTTGTTTCCCTTAGCGCTATACGCTCAGATGTACATGGCTGTCTCTCGCCCTGATGCAATTCTGACAGGGTGTTTCATTACGCTACTGTTGTCGGGCTTTCGTTCTCTTCTTTTTTTCGCTGATTGTAGCGATGATCGAAAAAGCAAGGGAAAAGCAACCGAAGGAGAAGGGGAGAAAGGGATAGGGAGCCTGAATGGAACTAACACAACAAAGCAGTGTCAGCTTTTGCTCCAGAACCATGATACCGGCATGGCCTCTCAGTCCTTCGGAAGGGATCGGATTTCGATGTTTAGTCGAAAATCGCGACTTTCTTGGAGGTTACAGTATGGATGGCTCGCCATTCTTTTTCACGCAAGCTTCATTAGCTGGTCATCTATAACCGCATTACTGACGATCAGGAGTCAGAAATGGCTTACCAGATAAGCAAGGGATACATTGTAGCATGCTGTAGAGTAATGATAGTTACGATTACATCCTATGGATAGCATACACCGTTTTTAACCGAGCAGAGCCGTACCAACGGATTTCTTTTATCTTCATACATAACGGCTACGTACAGTACTGATTTACTATATCCCAATGGAGGTTCCAAATGTTGCGACATCAGATCGTCGAGGCCTTTTGCTACTCCTATTGAAATCTTTTGACATGCACTGAAAGTTTGTAATCAGTGTAGATGAGACTACTTCCAGCATCGCGTTCCCAAATGAATCTGTTCCGATCTAGCAACTCGAAGTCATACCTCCATAGCAGTTTCGCCATGATGAGCCGTATACTTTGTTGAGCCATATGTCTACCGATGCACGCCCGGCTTCCAATCAAAAATGGACGACTAGCAGACTTGTTATCTCCATTGAACCCATTCTTCTCGGCGCCCTCTAACCATCGTTCTGGGCGGAAGCGGGCTGGATCGACGAAATACTTTGTCGACCTTTGAATCGTGTATAGATCAGCCGATACAATGGTACCTGCTGGTATATATGTGTCTGCTATAGTACACGAAGGGGCTGTGCGTTGCGCTGTCTTACCGTTTGCTGGCGGAAGCAAGCGTAAGGTCTCGCGGATGCAGGCATTGAGAAATGGCAGACGTACAAGCCTTTCACCTGTGATATCTGCTTCATTGTTGAAAGAAGAACGTATCTCAGTGCAGAGAGTTTTGTAAGCGTCTGTGTAGCGCAAGATGTGGTAAAATGTGGAAGCTAATGTCGTAGCTGTAGTTTGGTACCCGGCGAGACTTGACACTGTCAGTAAAGATTCTGTTCTCAGAGGAAGGTGCAACAAACGTTAGACCCATTGCATTGCTAAAGAACGCATCTGCGTCTAGAGTCAAGCCTTGCTTTTCACTGCCCATAATAGCCGAAAGGAAGTCTTCCCTGCCGTCTTTCCTGTCAACGCAACTAAAAATGTCATCACAATAGCACATAGATATCGACTCGATTTACTCACTCGCGTAGTTTTTTGGATGGGACAAGCTTTGAAAGCTGAGAGGACATCGGCATTGCTGAAAGGAAACCTCTAGCCATCTCTAGCGCCGGGGCTACACCGGGCATGACGAGCATGAAGCTTAAAGCTTCCACCATGGGCATTGACCCTTTACCCAACTGCTTCAGTGTTTCGTATGTTGCTTCGGCAAATGTCAGTCTGCAATTACTCCCTGGGTTGTTTGTGTATAGCTTACGTCGTTTTCCGGCCATCAATGGCTCCCCAAAAGCAAGATCACCAATTACCTCCCAGAACATCGTCTCCAGTTTGTCTGCAAGATCCATGCTGCGACCCTCTTCAGCGCTTTCGTCGAAATCGGGGATGGCCTTCTCGATGTGCAGCTTTTGGATTGGTTCCTGACTTGCAAGTGCTTGTGGGGTGAAGGCCTGCTGAATAACTCTGTGCAGTCTCTTATGAAGCGCTGGATCTGGGATTGTGATAAGAGTAGGGGCGTTCAACACGAGGTCTGAGAAAAGAGTCAAGAACGTTCCAGCTTTGGAAAAACGACTATCTTCTTGATTTGCATATATCGCTGTTTCTGCTTCGATGGTCGCAAAAGACACTTCATTTGGTGCTACTCGTACGACAGGTCCTACTTGAAATCAGCCTAGCTATCTGAATAGCGACTGCCTCGAGGGATCTTGCCATATTTCTCGTGGAGAGCCTGGAGTTCCGAATTGAATTTCATACGATACAAAGCTCTCATACCCCATATCTTTTTGATTCAGGATTTTTGCAAACCATTCGATCATAAGGGACCCACCGGAGAGAACTTGGCCACGAAGGGGCCTGGGACGTGGGAAAGTGGGTGCAGGTAGCATCCATAGGCTACAATCGATAACAAAATGAAGAAGGACTACAAAGGCCATTTTGTCAATAGTATTCTACAAAAGCTTTGGATAATGAGAGTGTAAAAACCTACAATCACTGCTACTGTGCCAACTTGCTGGGGTATACTGAACTCTCGTAAGAGAGAAGATACTGCCATGGTAACTATTGTAATCCTTGGACTGGAGCTCGACTCTGGTGTCGAGGAATCGTTTGCAGTCCCATGGGATAAATGATTAATTGGATAGCATTCTGCATAGCTGACCAAGAGTCCTGCATATATGCCAAGGCAAGACCTGACCTAGGTTTTCTCAGTTCGTTGTCTTCTAGTTTCGGATCTTGAAGCCTCATCAAGTTAAAATACACGCTATCATTCAAGGCGGGAGTTGGTGGCGCAGAAGCATGCATCATGCTGGTGCGGGAGGGTTGATTATCATCGTTTGTTATTATCCGGACGGCGACGCTAAATCAGCTCGCTCCTTCAAGAAAAACGCCAAATTGACAGTAGCGTAGGATTCATTGGCGCTACCGCGTGGGGGCAAATGGTGGGGAATGAGACCTCGGCTCCGCGGCTCTGCATGCGCGCCATTGCACACCAACGCCCGTAGTGCCCTACCTATGTGCATCCACAAAAATGATACCGCCCATATTGTATGTATTGCTCCAATGATACGAGAACTCGAATCAGAAACTAAGGACATATACTTGCTGTCCCAAAACGTTTGGCGTCGTAGTCAGAATCCTTATACTCCATTAAACAGCATGCGTTAGATAGCTGTCATGTAAGAGATAAGTGGGGAATACTACCAGTGGCTCCAGTGAGAAAAATCATCTCGAAGGATTTTGGACCGTGCAGTAGATTGTTGGCGGAAAAACATCACCCACGCATACATAGCGTACAGTCGGCGCTTTTTTAGAACAAGACTAGTAAGGTTTCGTGCTACAGCAGCTCAACATGCGCTCGCGATGCAGCAGAATATGGAACTGGATCCGTAGATACAAATGCATGCACTGCAGGTAGAAACGCTCGTTGATTGGCAGGACGAGCCCGCAAATAAGCCGTTTGCATAGTTTCCAACAACTGATGTTACAAAAAACCTCTCGCAATGTGATGGGTGCTGTGCCCAGGCTGAATGCAGCGCTAGAAAGTGAAGGAGTGGACGGATTAGAGCAAATAGAACCGGCGATCACATGTTCTTATTTCAAGCGGACTGCGTACAAATGCTTTCGTTCGATGCTTCGTAAAACCAACCAATATCTCCCATCTACTCTTTTAGCTATCTTTTTTTTACAGAAACATTGCAACATGGAGCAGCTTTCATATCAATCCAAACTGATTTGCTCCGAGGAGTCAAGACGGACTGGATGCTTCACAACACTCCCTATCCGTATCCATCCTCGAGATGATTTAGCTGATGCGGCAAGTCGTCGTTTTGTACAAGACTGGGCCCGAGAGATGAGAGATGGCCGCGAACAGTTTACTCATTTCTCATTTTCACCAGTGGGAAACTGGTCGTCTTTGATCTATCCCGAAGCGATCCCTGAAAGGCTGGGGGTCTTGGCGTATCTCTCTGACTTGGGCTTGATTCATGATGGTATTTGAATTTTCTTCAGGTTATATTAGCAATTCTAATGCGTGTCTAGACGGTGGTGAAGGCTTAAGCATTGAAGACGCGCAAGCCGAGCATGGTGAACTATGCGCTGCTTTAGATCCTAGTGATGTCAGCAGCGCTGCTCCAGGTTCAAGGGCGATGAAGACCAAGAAGCTTGTTTCACAGTGTATGCTTGAGTGTATTAGCCTTGACCGAGAATTGGGCCTGAAGATGCTCGCCGCGTTCCGCAATGTCTGGCTCGCTATTAGCGAGAGGAACAGCGACAAGGAAGCGCAAAATATGGAAGAATATTTGAAATATCGAAGCGATAATGGTGGAATGTTGTAAGAATCCCAGTCTTGCTGTTGTAAGATCTTGACTAATCTTTGGCAGAGTCTTTTGGCCGATGCTCCAGTTCAGCCTCGGGATGTCCATATCGGAAGCAGAAGAAGCGCTCGTACAACCAATCATTGGCGCAGCGACCGAAGGGCTTCTCCTAGCAAATGATTATTTTAGCTGGGAGCGCGAGTATAGAGAACTCCAATCCGGTCAATCAAAGAGGATTGTCAGTGCCGTTGACTTGTTCATTCGGACTAAGGGGCTCTCAATCGACAATGCAAAAGAGGAGGTCAAGCGCATGATCATCGCTGCTGAGCGCAATTTCTGCCAACGTCGTGATGATCTTTATAAGAATCATACCAACATATCATTGGAATTGAAACGTTGGATTGACTGCGCTGGGCTAGCTGTCTCAGGAAATCACTACTGGTGCTCGGCTTGCCCTAGACAGAATGCGTGGAAGGATATGTCTTCACAGAGTCCTAACGGGGCCAAGAGGAAACCATCACACAGTTCCAACATCAATGCACAGAAAGCTCCCTTCAAGAGGAGAAAAGACTCAAGCTTCTTTGGTTCTCAGTCCAGTGATGATGAGCCTTCGCTCTCGGAGGTGTCAGGCTACCCGTTTTACAAGCCGTCGGGACTCGCACTGGAGGCACCTTCAAAGTACGTCTCCAGCATGCCTTCCAAAGGCGTCCGGAGCACGCTCATAGAAGCTCTCAACACATGGCTTCACGTGCCGCCTGAACGCCTGGACTCGATCATGTCTGTTATCAACACGTTGCACAATGCTTCACTTATTCTTGACGATCTGGAGGATAATTCACCACTACGAAGAGGCTATCCAGCAACACATATCCTATTTGGGCAGTCTCAGTCAATCAACACCGCGAACTTCATGTTCGTACGTGCTGTACAAGAAGTCGTGCAGAATCTAAGCCCAAATGCCTTAGTTGCAGTCCTTGAAGAACTCGAAGGCCTATATTTAGGCCAGAGCTGGGATCTATACTGGAAACACAACCTCGCGTGTCCAAGTGAAGCTGAGTACGTCAATATGATTGACCACAAGACCGGTGGCATGTTTCGGATGTTGCTTCGGATTATGCAGGCCGAGAGCTCGGTGACATCGCAGCTGGATTTTCACAGACTGACACTATTGTTCGGCCGATTTTTCCAGATTCGTGACGACTACATGAATTTCCAAGATTACACAGCACAGAAAGGGCATTGCGAAGATCTCGATGAAGGCAAATTCTCGTACCCAGTTGTCTACTGCTTGGAAAATCATCCGGAATACCGTGGCCATTTCCTTGGCATATTCCGGCAACGCCCTACGGTTGCGACTGTCAATGCATGTCCCTTGTCGAGAGAGAGCAAACAGCATCTGACTGCTTGCCTGAAAAAGAGTGGAGCGTTCGATAAGACGATTGCTTGCCTGACGGATATGGAGCGGGACTTGGAATTCGAGATCAACCGGCTTGAGCAACAAACGGGTGAGACGAACCCGATGCTGCGGTTGTGTCTTGCAAAGCTCAGCGTCAAAGGAATTGCGAGGATTGGCGAAGTAAGCCCTAGCAAGTGATTGCCCAGGGGCCTTGCTATCCGGCTAGCCACAGCCGTCTGACCCCATGCGGGCCGCTTTACCCAAGCGCACTAATCATGGGTCGTACGAATTTAGAACAAATCCTACCTTCTCATATCTTTTTTATCTTACTTGGACGCTTAGACCAATGGAAGATCTTCTTGATAACGGGTACCATATGCAATGGTGATAAATGCCCACTATCGTATGTATGCACAAGCACAGTGCGTGCATTTTCCAGCACCTAGCCCGTGTAAGTGGGTATCTTGGAAACTGATGCAGCGAGTCGTTCGCAACTTATGTATGTCATGTCGCAACAACAGTCCTGCTGTAGTCTAGGGGCCTCTCTTAGCCCTGCATGGCTATACATCGATTTGTTCTAATCAGCAGTTGGGTAGCCTTAGCTATTTTAGTATCTAGAATATCTTTATTCCCAGCACTGGTGCAGACTTGGTGACTCAAATCTCTTATTCTTGACTATTAGTTATACGAAAATGCGGCGACTCGCAATACTATCTTGGCTGTATGCCATCCAAAGTTCAATTGGCAGCAGCAACACCATAACAGCAGATTACGGGTCTTGCCATCACGCAGTGTGTTTAAGATAAGTGCTCGGCGTGATAGAGCCATTTTCTAACGCATACAGTGTACCCTGCTTTCTGGAACACTTTCCGTTAAGCTACGTGGCAGTCATATGTCCGATCACAGTCATTACCCCACAGTTGCGAATGGATCCTCTGTGGCATCGCTTTTTTGGGCACAGCAGCAGCAATCTGCCCAGCCAGCCTGTCTTGTTCATGTCTACTCTCCTCAGGACGTTGCCACCGTCATATCTGTCTCCCGTCGCACGAGTTGCCCATTTGCTGTTCGTGGCGGCGGGCACTCGGATATTCCTGGCGCAAGCAACATTGATGGCGGCATCACCGTCAATATGGCAGGGCTGAGCAATGTCGAATTGCGTGAGAGTGAAGGTCTAGTCAGGGTCGGCGCAGGAGCAAAATGGGGTGATGTGTACAAAGAACTTGATAAGTCAAACAGAACCGTTGTAGGCGGCCGACTCACTGGAGTTGGGGTTGGCGGACTGCTGTTGGGTGGAGGACTCAGCCACTTCTCCGGTCTTTATGGCTGGGCTTGTGACAATGTCCGTAATTACGAGGTAACAACATGAATGCCGCAAACGAAGTACAAGCTGAGATCAGTCCAGGTGGTTCTTGCAAATGGTAATCTTGCAATTGCTTCCAACTCATCTAACTCAGACCTCTACCGCGCTCTGCACGGCGGTGGTAATAGCTTTGGCGTTGTCACTCGTTTCGATCTCGACGTATTCCAGCAGGGTCCTATGTGGGGAGGATTGCATGTGTGGCCGTTTCAGCCATCGGTAACATCCGCTCTTACTGATGGTTTTGTCAAGTTTGCACACAACGCTCCGTCCGACCCACATGTATCACTGTTCGCTGGCTTGGGTTATAAGCAAGGAAGCTTTGCCTGGGCTGTAGGGCAGTACGATGCTCTTGGAAGGACCGAGCCGTCTATTTTTGCCCAGTTCAAGGACGATGTGGAGGTGTATGGTACGGCGAAGATTACCAGCACAGCCAGACTGACTTCGTTGTCGGACCTCGCGGATGAGCTAAACCAGTCAGAACCCGCTGGGATACGAAGCAGCTTTACAACAGCAACTTTCTCCGCCAACTCAGGACTTTTAACGCTTATGGTAGAGATTTTCGAAGAGCAAGTGCAAAAAGCGTTGAATAACGGTTTGGATAAGGACGAGCGATTTGCGCCGATGCTGGGAATCCAACCACTGACGCAAAACCTTCTAAGAGCTCAAGAGACACAAGGAGGGAACGTCATGGGCCTCCGTGGTTCCGATGCACCTTTGGTCGGTGAGTATCGCCATGCATCCTTCTTCCGGCGGCGCTAACAATATTCACTCAACAGTGTGTTCTTTTGGGTGGGAATGGTCTTACAAATCTGATGACAAGATAGTCATTAACGGTATCAATGCAGTGCTGGAGCATTCTGTTTCAGCTGCAAAGGAAAGAGGCTTGCATCATCCTTTCAAGTACATGAACTATGCTGCATTAAACCAAGATCCCATCAAGAGTTATGGAAAGGACAACATTGAGTTCTTAAAGAGGGTACAAGCGATGTACGATCCAGACAGAGTATTCACTGTTCTAGTACCCGGCGGGCACAAGTTGAATTGATTTACTTTTAACGTTCAAGAGGCGTCCTCTCTGGAAATAAGTGAAGGGTGAAGGTGAGTACAAAAACATCTCTTTTCAAAGTGTTGTCGAATATCGCCTTGAATGTGCCTGTATTCGCTGCAAACTTTGAGATTGGATATAGCAGAGGCCAGAGAGAATGAAAGAGCTGTAAAAGAATTCACGAGACCATGTTTGATTTAGTCATCCACAAATCCTGCGCCTATTGAGATTGGAACCGAAGAAAGTTTACATGTATCTCAAGATACGTCATTGTTTGTTTCGCCATAAAAGTTATTTTTGAATAAAGGATATAGTGAGGTCCTCCAGCAACATGATAGTCAGCATGAATACGAAGAAGATAAGGGTTTTCACAAAATCCTGACATGGAAGGATCATCGTTGCGGCTACCCGACGATACAGCCCAGAGATAGTAAATGCCATGTAGGACTGGACTTGACGACTCATCGATGTCCCTTTCGGTGTACACACGATGTGTCTGGCAACAAAGCGGCTTGGAATCTGGAGTGCTCTCCGGAGGTTTTGGTGCCATGTGCGATTCCAGAAATTGTTCAAAGTTTAGCACACAGCCCGTAGCCCCTTGAGAGGGCAAGCCTGTTCGATAACATTCCAGAAGAGACCAGATGTGACACTGACCAAACACACAATGCGGGAGAAATTTTCCATTGGCGCAATTGTTAATGCCCACCAGCAACCGGCCGCCGAACTTCACATGACAACATTCACGTCGAGTATACTCTTCCGTCTCCCTTCGGTTGACCAGAGAGCAAGGGCTGTTGCAGTATCGTGAATGACGTATCGCTTCAGAATTCTCTTCACCGCTAATTTCGAGAAGGAGGTCTTGGATAAGCCTGCTGGGGGCCTAATGGAAACCGTGTAGTGCCTCAATTTTAGCCAATTGCTCGGGTCGGAAAGGCATTGCTAAGACACCACCGAACCTGTCTAAAGGAACAGAGCGAGCTAACTGAAACTCGAGAAAGTTCTCTTTCCATTACTATTCTTCCCAGTTCGTATACGTTCCGGGGACGGATCTTCTTAAATAGGAAGATTGAAGTTTTTCAAGCCGATATAGAAAATTGCATCATGTTATTAGTAGCAGTTATGACTGACTAAAACCGTAGTGTGGTCTAACCCGTGCCAAACGTGTGGTTCTTAGCTATGTCAGACCCATAAGGAAAGAATAAAACAACAGCGATGCAGAGAACCAAAAAGGGAAGTAAAAGCAGCCAGCGGAGGCCTCGCTGCATGCCAGAGCCTAACAAGAGTAGAAGGGGTGTTGAGGGCCATGCAAGGCCCACAAAATCCGCTCGCTCCATGGCCATCGGGGTTGGGCTAGTTTTGAGAACGAATTGCCGTAAGAGTAACAAAGCTAGACGAACACCCAATGCAACCAAATGCTAGTTGGGTCGATTGCATACATATGTACTGGACGCGAAATCTCCCGTTAGCGTTAGCCTAGCGAGCTTAGCACGACGTACTTCACCTGCCGGGGTGGCGCATGCAATTACCGCATTAGCGGCTCATTCGTTCCCGGATCCCTACAACTGGCCTTACAGTATACTAGTGTATGCAATGCTACTGCATGCAATATGTTCAATTGTTAAATCCTTTTCGGGCACAAACACTGCGGCCGCATCCGCGTCACGAACCCCCACGGTGCTGACAATTTATCCAAGCGCCTATATTTCGATTATGGACTTATTCGTTTGCATTCCACTTGTTGCCATCATCCAGTATTACAGAAAACTTTGAAATGGCGATATTGGGCTCTGCTCTTGTGACGATAGACCTACCAGTGACCTTGGTGTCTCTGCTTGTAGGTTCCTTCCTTTACTTCTGCTATCTGACGGTGTATCGCCTTTTTCTAAGCCCGATTGCGCACTTCCCGGGACCCAATCTTGCAGCATGGACCTATTGGTATGAATTCTGGTACGATGTTATCGCTGAACCCGAGTATAGCTTTAAGATCGGTCGACTTCACAAGATATATGGTATGAGTAATACTCTGGTTCAAATGCTGCCGAACTGCACTAACTGCCGTGGAGGGCCCATCGTCCGGATCAACCCAGACGAGATACACATTGCAGACCCAGAGTTCTATGACACGATTTATGCTGGTAGCGGACGCAAACGCGACAAGTGGGATTGGATCACTAGATCTTTTGGTGTCGATGAGAGCTTGATCGGAACACTCAAGCACGACGAGCACCGCGTACGCAGGGCGTCTCTTTCGCCCTATTTCTCTAAGCAGAGCGTAAGAGCACTGCAGCCTCTAATAGACCGAAACATGGCAATTCTGCTGAAACGTTTTCGCGAGTTTGCCAATTCTGGTTTACCATTAAAGCTGGATGATGCTTACGCGGCGCTGACCAATGGTAGGTCACCCTCCTTGAACTCGCAGATCGGATATTGATTTTAATCTTAACTTGCAGACATTGTTGAAGACTATGCTTTTGGGAGAAGCGATCACCGTCTGGAGGCTCCAGACTTTGACCCGTCGTTCAGGGATGCAATGCTACAGGGCGGCAAAGCCGGTCATGTGCTGAAGCATTTTACATGGTTGATGGACTTGCTGAAGAAGCTGCCCGAATCATTGCTGCTCAAATTGAGCCCCGCAATGGGAGCGTACTCGCAGCTTCAAACTAGTGTGAAGCGTCAAGTCGCTGAGATACAGCACGCCCATCAAACGCACACCTACGATAAGACGCGCCGTACCATCTTTCACGAGATTCTCAACAGCAAGCTTTCGGACTATGATAAGTCTACAGACCGTCTCTGGCAAGAGGGCGAAGTGGTTGTTGCTGCTGGAACCATCACTACTGCCTGGGCACTGGGTGTGTCGACATACTTTGTGCTCACCACCCCAGACATTCTGCGTCAGCTCAAAACTGAATTAGAGACTGCAATCCCCGATCCCTCACAGCCACTCAATCTCATTGCGCTCGAGGCTCTTCCATTCCTTACTGGTGTGGTCCAAGAAGGCGTGCGTTTAAGCCACGCCATCTCACACCGCTTGCACCGCATCTGCCCTGATGAGACACTCATCTACCAGGACAATGACAACCAGTGTGAATGGAGAATTCCGCCTGGAACGCCTCTAAGCATGACTAGTAACCTGGTCCATCATGATGAACGTATCTTTCCGGACTCGCACACGTTCAAGCCTGAGCGCTGGCTTGATAACGCCCGCCTCGAACGTTATCTGGTGTCATTTGGAAAGGGTGGACGAGCGTGCCTAGGCATCAATCTTGCCTATGCAGAGCTCTATCTTACATTGGCGGCACTCTTCAGGGTGTACGGTACCGAGCAGGTCAAGGGGAAGGATGATGTTGGGACATTGCAATTGTTCGAGACGAGTGCTGCTGATTTGGTGATTACCAGTGATACTGTTGTCCCTGTCATGCCTGAGGACTCCAAGGGACTTCGAGTAAAGGTATATTAGATCATTTGTTAACAAAAAAACTAGCTCTTCTCTATGAAATAGAGTAGTTATTGTAACTATCTAAACGCCAGAATCGTCTTGAACAATTCCGGCGCTGCTTTGGAAGCTTCCCCAGCTACTACAACCTTGCTGCACTTGATCTGCATGAGTTATATTCTCAATTTTGTCGTATTGTTCCACAAACTGCAAAGCGAATCCCTCCGAGGTGTGCCAACCTATGTGGCAATGCATCAGCCAGGCCCCAGGATTATCGATCTCGAACGCCAATGCAAGGTACCCAGAGGCAGGGAGCATTGCTGTATCTCTCCTTGGGGGATTGTCAAGCTGTAGGGTTATGTCTGAGGTATAGGCACCGGATCCTTGTGCCAAGACAAAGAAATCGTGTCCGTGAAGGTGTATAGGATGCGGAACAGGTAGAGCAGTCTCGATTATAACATATACCCATTCTCCAGCATTAGGTAACTCAATTACGGCATTTGATTCTGCAAAAGAAGACTCTCCGTCGAGTATCTGCAGTAACGTCGGATCTGCCCAATTCGTCACCATGGAGGTAGAGTTCAGGTACCAGCGGAAGAGACCATGGCTATTGAAGCCAACAGTTGCAATCTCGCCCTTGGTACTATCTGGTTCTGAAACTGTTTTCGCAACATAAGGAATAAGGTTGTCTGTTTCGTCGTCACAGCTGTCTGTGTAGTCGTAGGCTGATGAAGAGGGTGTAGAGGCCGAAGAGCCATAATAAACAATACCGCGGACATCGTTCGCATTTTCAACATCTAAAGCCATTTAGCGGGTGACTAGAACAATTAAGTTCCAAAGAATACTCACCAGAGCAAGCCGATTGAGGAATGGCACGCATCCAAAAGTTTTCAGCAACAGATGCTTGGTTGGCTGTGACAATAATCTGTAGATACTCAGTTTCACTCAACATTTGCGTGAACTTGGTTATGACCCACATCGTAACGTTGGCCCATGCCAATATCCAAAACTGTCGTAGTGTACGGCTGAATAGGTACCAAGTCAGACGCAATCACAGTCATTGTGTGATTATCTATCATGAATTTGAAGTGGGTGTCAACAGCACCGTTCACCAGACGTATCCTGTAAGATAAACCTTCAGTAAAAGATACGTTTTAACGATGACCGCCATCTTCGAAGATATTTGTGCCGTTGATCAAAGCATTATCGAGAGTAGGTGGTCCACTGGTCTGAGCAGACATGTAAAGCTCATCGACTGTCTACATAATTGTCAGTATATACCCCCCCAATGGCCCAAGTAATACTTAGAAGCTGAACACACTTACCTGATGATCCCAGTCGTTAAGAAATAACATCCCCAAATCCTCGTCATAGTTTGCCGTTGCTGGCCCGTTGATAACGAGCCCACCAAAGATACCTTGCCAAGCTTGAAGTGCAAAATGTGAGTGATACCAAGTGCTCCCATACTGCGTCGCTCGCCATGTGTATGTCATCGAGCTTCCCGGGGCAGTGGGGCATTGCGTTATAGATGAGACTCCATCCTGGTCGTTTGTACCATTTTGCCGGAGGCCGTGCCAATGGATACTAGTTCCATTCTGGGACGTCTCGAGTCTATTATTGACATGTACAATTACTGTATCGCCCCAGTCGGCAAATAACGTTGGTCCAGGGATGGTTCCGTTCACAGCCATTGCGGTCCGGGAAACTCCATCGGGTGCAACTGTTACTTCCGTCAAATCGAGCCAGTATTCTCGCGTTACTCCCGTGTTAGGGACAACTAGATAGCGTTGCAATTAGAATGTCATTCCTCACTGTCAATGAGAGGCTTACTTGTTGCATAGTCCGTATCTATCGAATAGTCGCACCATGTTGAACGAGACGTAGCAGAATTGCCAGAGCAAGCTTCTCTTTGAGTCAAGGAGTGGCGATGTGATCGATGGTGATGCGCTTGTAGGTCATTGCGGACACTCATGGCTGAAACGTGAGCAATTAGCCAGCCGGTACTGAAGGCACTTAGGAATCGCATTTTGTAAATGGACGCAACAAGGAATTCAAGTTAGAACCTGTACAATTTGAAAGATTGATAGACTCGTGACGAAAGTATGGACACGAGAAGTGGTAACGGGGATGGTCTTTAAGCTTCATGTCTAAGCTATGACCAAGACAAGTTGAGCATTTAGCTCGGATTGCGTGTTGAACTCCGTTGTTCTAACCCGATGCTATTGCTAGGTTGAAGATAAGATTCGTCATCGTCAACCCTACTACACCTAGTTGAGTCTTTGCTAGTAACGCGACGCATAAACACTACGATGTCGGGTCAGAGTGAGATATCTGTGCCAAGCACTTGTCGAAGCTTTCGATAGTTTCAGTCTTCGTCCCTGATATTGTTTCTTGTATTGTTTATTTCTGTTTCGCGTCTAGTGCACTAGATAACTATCTCTTAGGAAAGATGTTAAGCCACGCCCTAACCTCGCGGAATCGGGCATCGATAACGGACCCTAGTATACCACGAAGATCCATGTAACTGTAGTGGGAGCTGCCGGCATTTTTCCGGTATAGGTATAGACCTGATCATGCATGTGGGTCACTATCCTGGCTTCGTTTCAGGAAGCAAGATCCAAGTTAGTGGGTCCACTAATCAAGGGGAAAATACAGGGTAGTCACGTAAGATATTATCATTATGGAAAGGATACCAGACTAATCACCGAATGCGGTATATATTTCCTCAAAGTGGTCCTAGCCTCTTAGACCCTGGTGTCTCCACGTATAAAAACTTTTGCTTTTCATGATAATCGATCTATCTTCTGTGCGATCTCCCTGACTCGGTGCACCGGACATCTAGATAGTGACCCACGTCTGAATGGGGATGGTTGCGCCCAGTTGATGACGACGACGCATGCTTGCGTAGGACACAAGCATGACATTACGTTTTCAATATATAGAATCAAATCTCATTCAACCCACAAGAAGCTTAAAGAGGGCACACATCGTCCAAGAATTCCTGGAAGACAGTTCATCTCACTAAACAACAAGTTCAGGAGAAATACTTTCTACCATGTTGGCCTTCAAGTCTCTCGCGCTTTTATCTGCGCTGCCATGTATTGTGTTGGGTGGGAAAATCCACCAGGGATCGCAGAACTTCACCCTGTATGGATACAGTCCTCAGTTCGGTGGGAATCCTTTGGTCTTTATGGATGGTAAGTGATCTACATAAACTACATGGATGACAAGAAAGAATCTGACCAAGTTAAGGGTATGCATATCTTGCGGATGTAGATGGGCTCAACGTTACCGACTCTGCAGTCGTGCGATGTAAGTATAAAATTCAGAGACTCTTTGGCAATCCATACGGTTTTGACATGTCTTTAGTCACACCTGGTTCCAAAAATGAGTGGCTCGCTTCACCAAACGCAACTACAGCAGGGGGGTCATCATGGTTGAACACAACATTTTCTGTTCCAGCAGCCCAAACCTCCAACCGCCGTGTGGGCTTCATCAGTGGTAACTCAACGTCTGGGAATAGGATCACATCTGGCTTTCGGCTCTTTGGCTCATTGGCGACACTTGTTACATCTGACGGGGAGCTAGAGTCTTTGTGGACTGGGCTTGATGTTGGACAGCATCTGTATGCGTTATACTGGAACGATACGAGCCTGGGTCAATTCCCGATTACTTTGACCACCGTTGCCCCTTCTAATTTATCGGGCTAGGAAGGACCCATGTAATCTACATGATAGACCGCTCTCCTTGGACCGCGGGACTATTGGAATAAAGAAGCTCATGTTGGGGTTGTATCAAATATCACGCAGACTTCGATTCTATCTCTCTGTTACACGGGGTCTGGAGTGCTAATACTTCTCTGGCTCGATCCGGGTTAGGGCGAGTAGGATTGGGTTAGCGCCGTGAGAGTTGCCTGGCGAT